ATTGCTAAAATCATCAAATTGAACATATGCAGATTCCATCACAGATTTTGTTCTAAGATTAAATATTCTATACGCATGGCTATTTCGAGAGTAGCCTAAGAATATTCCTTGATCGCTTCTAGCATCGAATTTCCCAAGCTGTTCCCTGTCATTCAAGATATAACAAGTACAACCAAAAGTACGAAGGTAGTTGAGTTGGGGTTTTTTACCTTTCCAGATTTCGTACGGAGTTTTAGTGGTACCTGGTCGAAGATAGACTCGATTTATAATATGACATGCAGTGTTAACTGCTTCTGCCCAAAAACGAGGAGCGATCTCCTTTGCGTTCATCATGACCCTGGCCATCTCTTGCAGAGTGCGATTTTTGCGTTCAACCACTCCATTTTGTTGAGGTGTTTTAGGTGCAGAGAATTCATGAGATATTCCATATTTTTCACAAAAGTTAGTAAATAAGGAATTTTCAAATTCTCTCCCATGATCGCTCCTAATTCTCACGATGTTCTGCTGTTTCTCAAAACTCACCTTTTTGCATAATTTTTTAAACACATCAAAAGAATCGGATTTTTCCCTAATAAATTCTACCCAAGTAAATCTAGAAAAATCATCTACACACACAAATATGTACCGTTTTCCACCTATACTCTCTACTTGCATTGGTCCCATAAGGTCCATGTGTAGAAGTTCTAGGTTTCCACTGGTTCTCACATTAGCTAAAGCCCTGTGTGAACTTTTGATTTGTTTACCCATTTTGCAATCACCACAGATTTTTCCTATTTCTTTAGTGAGTTTGGGCAGCCCTCTAACATATTCACAGCTGGAGATTTTTACGAGATTATCAAAGTTCAGGTGTCCTAACCTTTTGTGCCAAAGCACTGTAGAGTCTGACAGGCTGTTGAAACAGTTCGTACCTGCAGAGACAAGAATATAGCAATTGTCAGATGATCGAGTTCCCTGAATAACACAATTCTCGTCTTTGTCTAATACTCGACATGCGAATTTGTTGAATCTGACTTCAAGATCTTGATCACATAGCTGGCTGATGCTTATCAGATTTGACGTGAGCCCTTCTACAAGTAGTACATTCTTCAGCTTTGGCAAATTCTCATGATTTAGTGATCCTTTCCCTAGCACTTCACCCTTTTTTCCGTTTCCAAAGGTAACAGCTCCACCGGTGATTTGTTGATAGTTTTTTAGAAACTCTTTAACACCGGTCATATGTCGTGAACACCCACTGTCAAAATACCAATCATTAGTAGTACTTGCTTTTAAAGAAGTAATCGCAGATAAGCATTTGAACGTGGACTTTTCAACCCAAATTTTTTGCTGAGGTCTATTGGAAATATCAATTTTATTTTTGGGTTTTTGAGGGGGTGAAGGAAAATAATCAGCCCTAGCAGAGTAAAGAGAACGAGCCACAAGCTTTTTCACAAGTTTTAAATATTTGAAGCATCTAGGACGTATGTGACCTGGATTTTGACAGAAAAAACAAGTGGGAATAAACCTTTTCTTTGAATTGTGTTTCGTTGCTTCAACAGTTGCAACTGTTTGTGAGACAGAAGCCTGTTTAACAAAGTTGATTTTTCTGTTTTGATCTTCCTTTCGCTTTAGATCAACTTTTGGTAGCTGACTCCCTCCTATGCCTAGACGATTATAGTTTGGCTTGTTGTTGCTTAAGATTTCATCTAGATTACCTCTACCCAAGTTCAATTTTGCAATTGCTTCTTGAGTTTGAGTAAGTTTAGCCTGCAAACTATTTTTCTCTTGATCACTAGATATGACCCTTTCCTCAAGAGTAGAGATTCTTACCTTTAGTGTCTTGTTTTCCTCTACAAGCACAAACTTCTCCTTTTCCAGGAAGTTATTTACCTTAACGACGTCGAGCCATTTTTGGTACATTTTGTCATATACCTCCTTAACTTCATCCAAGGTTGGTTCTTCCTCATCACTGCTGCTGTTCGGATCCTCTGCAAAAGAAGAATTTTCGTTTAGATTTTTGTCATAATCAGAACACATATTTTCATACCTGGATTCTGTTTCACAGACTGTTGCAACAGTTGAAGCAACAGTTGATTCTGAACTGTCCAGAGGAACTTTGCTGCTGAATGCTACAAAGTTAGTGACTTGATCGTTGTTTCCTTGGTCATCATCAGATTCTTCTTCATCGCTCCAAACAGTAGTAAGTGACATTTTCTTCTTTTTCTTCAGGGTGTTTGCGCATTCTGATTGAATGTGACCAAAGCCTTCGCACTCTCGGCATTGTATTCTTCTTGGTTTTGACTCCTCTGAGTTATCTTGACTTGAATTTCTCCTAGAGTTTTGAAAATTCACGGGTTTCCCTGTGCTTGGAAGATTTCCCCTTTTTCCGATCTTTTTGAGAAATTTCCCAAAATTTTTCGATAGTAGTGCCAAGGTTTCTTCAACTGTTTGCTCATCTTCTTGAGTTGACGAATTTTGGGGCGTTGCATATGATGTTTCTGCTTGAAAGGCTATCTTCTTTTCTCTAGACTTTTCACGATGATTTTCACCATGATTGAGTTCTTGTGCTAGAAGTTTCCCCATGAGTTCGTCTAGTTTGAGCGTGTCAACATCTCTGACTTCTTCAATGGCAGCAATTCGGTAAGCAAATCTTTCAGGTAATGAGCGCATTGCTTTTCTCACAAGCTTGCTTTCCGAATAGGGTTCACCGAGTGCGTATGATTCATTGGAGATATCACATAGTTTAGCATGGAAGTCAGTGATCGTCTCATTCTCCTCCATCTTCAAATTTTCGAATTTGGTGGCCAGCATTTGTAACTTGGATGTCCTTACAGTTGACGTTCCTTCGTATGTGACTTGAAGGATTTCCCAAGCTCTTTTTGCAGATTCACAAGACGCTATTAGTTTGAATTGATTATCATCAACACCACTAAATATTGCGTTTAGGGCCCTTGAGTTGTAGTTTGCGAGTAGTATCTCTCCATCATTCCAATCTGCTTCTGGTTTGAATACTTCCACTTTGTCTTCTCCTTTGACCATAGGAGGTGTCCAACCAGTTATGATGGCGCGCCATGCTCTCTCATCTATGGATTTGATAAACATCTTCATTTTTGATTTCCAGTATGAGTAGTTTGAGCCGATTAGGAGAGGTGGACGAGTAGTTGAAGATCCTTCTCGTTGAGTATTCATATCTGCACAAAATAAGAGTAATCAGTTCCCAAAATCTCACTAGATGTATTTAGTGACAGGCTCTTGATGCCAATTGTTAGAATTATTTCGTGCAAATTAATTATAAATTTGTGTCTGATAAATTCCAGATTCAGTTTTAGCTACTGTTCTACTGTTTTACGAAGAGTTGCAACAGTTAATGGAACAGTAATAAAAAGACACAAATTTTAAAGTGGTTCGGATACAATTGTACCCTACATCCACGGGGACCTGCAAATGAAATTCACTAATTTTTTAGTTTTACGAATACAGTAATAGGACTTAATCGAAAATGCAAAGACTCCCTCTTTGTCGACGCCGTTCTTGTATCCTACGCTGAATTGTCAATCTTCACTTTGCAGCACGTCCCTTTCCGCACGGTTGAAATTCCTTCAACGCTGAGTCCCTCAGTCGGCGGATCGACCTCCTCCCGAGATCTTCTGAATTCTCCTCCCGAAGAATCGATCTTCTTTTTGGTGAAAGAAGCAAAACCTTTCTCTGTATTTTCTTCTCGATTTAAGACCGGAATACTGGAGCAGCAACGTAAGAGCAGAAAAATAATTTTCTCTCCAAATAAAAGGGACGAACAATAACAACGTTGATGCTGCCTTCTTATATTTCCTTTTGTTGAACTAGTAGAGCCCTACACAAGAAATAGAGCCCATTAGGTTAGATATAATCTTACGTAAGGAGAAGGAGTTATGCAAACAAGGAAAGTCTTATTCAAAGGAATTCCTTGTTAATAAAACACTTAGGTAATTAAATAAATTAATGACAAAATAAGAGTTTAAAGAACTAAGGAAACTTCCCTAGTTTTTATACACGTTTTTCGTATACGTCATGAAAACCGAAATAGAATCCTCTCGGATTCTAACAGAGATCAAGGCAATGTGGTTGGTTGTTGCGGTGAGCATGGTAGT